AACATTTCATGAGGACACTTAGATTTTAATAGAGGAGATGGTAATCTATTTATGATATGAATGGCATGTTGAATAGAAAAGTTCCACAAATTTAAAGGAATGTTAGAGTGAAAATATAAGGATCTAGCTACATTAAGAATATGTTGATGCTTTCTTTCTACCACCCAATTTTGTTGGGGTGTCTCAACACAAGATTTTTGGTGAATGATGCCTTTTGACAAAAGAAAATCAGACAAAACTAAGAATTCAGTACCATTATCACTTCTAAGACATTTGAGTGTGGTATGAAATTGGTTTTCCAAATAGGATATAAATTGTATTAAGCTATTTTTGGTTTGGTCTTTTGTTTTAAGAAATATCACCCAAGTATACCTACTATAATCATCAACAAGGGTTAAGAAATACTTTTGGCCTAAAACAGAAATTGTAGAAAAGGGCCCCCATACATCAGCATGAAGTAATTCAAAGGGAGCAGAAGAAATAGAAGTGCTATTAGGAAAGGGTAATTTTCTTTGTTTTCCAAGATGGCAAGATTCACAAGGTGTATCATTATTGTTACATGGTATGAAAGGAAAAACTGTGGAAATGGATTTCATGCCTACATCAGATATATGGCCTAACCTTAAGTGCCAAAGATTACATTTATTATTGACATTAGAGGTGTAAGCTGAAGACTGGCTGGTAGTGTCAAGAACATAGAGACCTTTGTGCAATTTAGTTGTACCAATCATTTCCTTGGAATGATTCTGCAGGATATGGAAAGTATTAGCACTAAATTGTACAAAGCAAGTATTTTGGCTAGTAAGTTTAGCAATGGATATTATGTTAACATAGAAGGTAGGTATATATAGGACATTGTGAAGAGTTAAATTGGGTGATATAGCTACACTACCAGTCATAGATGCAGTAGTATGAGAACCATCAGGCGAGTTAACATGCAAAGGAATGATATGCTTAAGATTTGTAAAAAAGGAACTATCAAAAGAGATATGGTCTGTGGCACCAGTATCCAATATCCAAAGGGGAGAATTCTTACCATTGGTGGTGGTTGAATGCATAGCATAAGGTGATGTTGAGATGGAATTGGCTTGGGAATTAAGCTTTGACTGTTGAAGCAATGCAAGGATGTTGTTGCACTGCTCTTGAGTGTATCCAGAAGGAGATAGAGATGACTGTTGAGAAGAGTCTGATGCAGCATTGGCTAAGGCATTGTGTGGAGAATTCTGAATCTTGCCCTTTTGTTTGAAACCTGGTGGATAGCCATGTTTGAGAAAACATGTCTCCACAATTTGATTGGTTCTCCCACAATGTGTACAGATGCGTTTTTGACTCTTAGAACCAGTTTGATCTTGATTCTTATTCTTGAAAGCATTGTATCCAGGTTTACCATAAGAATTACCTGAAGTGCAGTAGTAGTGAGCTCTTCAGTAGGAGCAGACGGAGAAGCTAACATAGATGCAACACTATTCAATTTGAGTTCTTGCTGAATAATGAGAGAAAAGGCTTTGTCAATATCTGGCAAGGGACTCATCATCATGATTTGTGATTTAGAGTGTGTAAACTTCTCATTTAGGCCTTTGAGGAATCGAATAACCTGGTCTTGCTCACGATACTTCTTTGCAGATGCAACGGTGCCACAAGAACATGGAATTGCACATGAACACGCAAGAATCAGACGGTAATTATCAAATTTATCCCAAAGAACTTTCAATTGCGTGAAGTAGTTAGAAACATCTAAGGTACCTTGGAGAAGTTTGTATATATCCTCCTGAATATCTGAAATGTGGAAGACGTCACTATGCGAAAAACGAATCTGCAGATTCTTCCAAACTCCAGCTGCACTATCAATCCAAAGAACCGATTTGGCGATTGATTTAGAGATCGATCGATGAATCCAGGCAAGAACCATAGTGTTACAGCGTATCCAAGGAGCATACAGAGGATCAGATACAGGTGATTTTGCAAGAGATCCATCAATGAATTTTTCCTTGTTCTTCAAAATCAACGCTATATGCATTGACCTAGCCCAAGTATGGTAGTTCTTGTCATCAAGAAGATGAGATACAAGGATAATCGCAGGGTTTTCGTTTGGATGAAGATAATAAGGATTCGTAGCATTCGTGGAGAAATCAACAAAAGTCTGGTAAGCCATTGATGAAAGGATCGATGAAGGAAAGAAGAAAGGGAAAATGCAAATTGAAATCAAGATTCGCAGAAGGATCTGCAACGATAAACGCAGAGACGTTACGCTAGTTGCAGGGTAGGGAGGATAGTGAAACAATGGATACCAGAGCTTGTATAACTCTGATACCATGTTGACATAGGAGGGTGCAAGAGAAAACTCCATGAAAAATGGAGAAACAGCCAAGGAAGATAAAATAAGAAGATAAAAGATTTGTTATAGCATATTCAGTATATGTATTTAACCAAAGGTACATCCAAATGTATATATATAAGCCATGTTGTGACCAATGAATAATAAAGTGTAAAACTAAGTATTGATCCATAATTATAAAATTAATATAAGCTAATAATTCTTCCTTTTTTTAACTCACAAACTCACCTCACGAACTAACCCTTTCCATCGACATTGTTCATTCACATAACAAATAAACTGATCGTAGTGGGATAACATATTATTCAATTTGGATCACAGAAGAGCGAGACATGTGGTGTCCTTCGAAAGCCAAAACCAATAGGAGGTTTCACCATGTTGAACTACACAAATGCCATAAACAAATAGTGAGGCATTTTAAGATGTTCTTTTTAACAACACGTGATCCCAATTTATACAAGTTTGAATTCATTCTGGACCACACACAATGTCAGTGCAAACACAGCTATACAAAACTGTCGACACAATCTCAACCCTTAAATTACACTACAAAATTTTTTTTGCTCCTCTAAGAGTCTGATAAATGCAGAAGGTTTTCAACAAAACTAGTGATTTTACACAATCAGATTTTTCAAGGTTTTGCAAAAAATCCAACACAACATGGTGTTTTTTAAATCCAATTTAGGCTCTATGTCTTAGCTAACTAATCAAATAGTTAACTTTATGTTATCCTATTGAATAATATGTTGTCCCACTCCAAGAACATATCACCATAGGCTAACAAATAAACTGATCGAGTTTGATTCAATGATTTCTAAATATGTCAACGACATAATCAAGATGTTGAACCATCTAGAATCATCTAGTAGTGTTTAGGTTTTATTATTTTTTATTGTTTTGTTAAGTTATGTAATCCTCTGCGTAAAGTTATGTTAATCGCCATGTGTTAGACTATTTGTCAAATGTTAAGCTATGCTCAACCTACAACAATTGAAGTGACAAAATGTTATTTAATAAATTGTACGGTGCAAATGTTTGAGTATCAATTTTCATAATATACAAATAATACAAAAATGAGAATAATGTCTACATAGGTCCCCCACGGGCTAAGTGTGTTGCATGTGATGGAAAAGTATAAACCACGCATCTGGCTCAACCAAGCCAATAAGGTTATCCATAATGATTGTTGTCATTTGTAGACGTTGTTGGTCACCCACACCATGTGGAAGTGATGGAGGCTGCAACACGTCATTAGAAAGTTCTCTAGCATGAGAAGGTTCAGCATCATCTCCATGCTCAACATATGGGATGAGGTAAGGGTGTGATACAGTAAGGTATCGCTCCAAGTACCCATCCACACACTTCTCACAGAACTGAACCTCCATTACACGATCTCTAATGGCATGGGCAAAGCTGATAATGTTACCAATAAACCATCCATCAATTCCCTAAAATGGAATAACAGGAGATGGTATTGGGATGTCATGGACATGCCCAAGCTGATGCGGACACCTCTCAAGAAATTTTCTAGCCCTAAGGTCTCACATCGCAGATAACTAGAAAAAAGTGAAGAGTCACTAAACTTCTAATGCACTTTATGGCCTGCGAAGGGTGTCCAGGTAACATAGTCTATAGTTAACGCACATATCCTCTTCATGTACTCCAAAACATTGCCTAGGTTTGCATGCCTGTATTTCCATCTCTTGGCCCATGTGGAGCCAGTAACGATAGGAATAACTTGCATATCACAAATGGAGGGGAAATGCTCATATATCCAAATACTACATAATAACATAGGCAAATCAAGAAATGTCATAAATAAGAACCAAATTAATAAGTAAAAAGTTCATACCATAAATAGGCTCATATAACCGATAAGTTGTCTAGTCTCAAAGACATTCATCTCTTTAAGTGCAGAATATTAGTCAGTGATGCACACCCTCATGCCTGACTGACATGGGTAAGGTTGCAAAATAGACACATGTACTTTATATCAATATATAAATGAGACTTATTCTCTAATATATTACAACCTACAAGATGTAGCATGTATACCTTAGCGGTTGCCTCATACATAGACTGGTGTACTAGATTGTAATATCTATCCTGGAGTCGAGATAGGCGAAAATGAGCACTCGTGTTAACCCTAAACTCTTATATCACTTTCTCCTAAATAACTCACAAGTCAAGTATAGCAGTAATGCATCTTAGTTGCTAGCTAATGAGATAAGCGGTGAAGAAACTACTTACCAGTGGAAGATGGAACATATAGGAGACATCCTCTAAGATAATCATCATCTCACCTAATGGAAGATGGAAGGAATATGTCTCCTTATGCCATCTCTCAACAAAGGTTTTTAATAGTTGACCGTTGAGAATGGTTGGTGAATATTTCACCAATGAAAGAAGACTACTATCTTCGACAATTGCCCTGACCTCTTGTGGCATCGGAGCATCTAAGAACTTCTTAAACTTCCCCATGTGGTTGGGTACCTTCAGCGGAATTCAATTCTATATAAAAACAAAGTAAAAAGCATCTATTATTTTTAATGTATTAATAATAAATAAATCAAAGTTCAACATAACATATACATACCTCTCATTTCCATAATATGAATGCTACATGATCAATATATCCATTGAGCAACCAACGATTATTAGGCCCTTAAAGAAACCACCTATCTATGTGTATAAACATCTCTGTCAAAGTCGGAGTAGTAACCTTTGAATCAACCAGATGAGTAACCTCCATATCACCCATAGCATGTGGAGTAACCTCTACATCACCCATAGCAGTTGCCTCAGTATCCGATTGAGGAGTAACCTCTATATGAGTTGGAGCATTCGTCTCAAAATGATGGGGCACCTCTGTCTCGGCCATAATATGCATGTCATCCTCAATTGTTGCATGGACATCTTCAGTAACTGGCTCATTATCGAGATCTCTGGTCCATTCAGCAGCAGGTCTAGATCCTCTACGTCGTATACTACAGGGTGCACGAAACTGTTTGGCTGCCATCCACCTCCTATGAGAATCGGTCAGGGATGCTCTTCCCGGCCAGATATGTGTCCTCGGTGTCATCTTCCCTCGCACGAAACCTCGCTGCAACAAATGCAGCTATTTCACACTACCTAGAAGCAATCGTATCGTCTAATACTCTGGTCCTCACTACAAATACAAAAAATGATGTAATTTAAACTATCAGATTTTTTCAAAAATCTGATAGAAAACATGCATTTTTACCCATTTTTCAAAATATTCCATAGAAAACATGCATTTTACTGAATTTTTCAAAATATCCAAAAGAAAGTATGCATTTTTATCGGATTTTTTAAAATATTCGATAAAAATACATGAGAGACATCAAAAAAATACAAAATGTTACAATAGAATATTAAGATAAATTTTTATATTTGACAAAGGTAATAGGATAAAAATATAATACTTGAGGGATACTAAGTTAAATTTGGGGGTGGCAAAATAAATTCTTCCCACACGGGTATGTTATTAGTCTATTATAATTTCTTTCCCTACCATGGGCCTAATAATAATTTACTACTTATAACATGCGTCCTTGTTGTGAGTTTGCTTGAGCATTTCATCCTCAACTTTTTTTGTTTGTTCTCTAATCACTACTTATAATTGATTATGGGATGTCACATTTGGAAGAATTAGGATATTGTTTAAAATTATGACCACATGATTAATATTTAATCATAGAAATTACAATGATTTTCATGTTGTCACATTTAGAAAAGTTGAGTTATTTGCTTCCCTCAAGTTATAAGTGTTTCATTTGAAATATATAAGAGGAATGCTCATTTTATAGGGTGTGCCCCACAACTTTGAAAATCCAAAAGTGTTTTTATTGGTATCCGAAGATGCATTTTTGGACGCACCTAAAATCACACTAACTCTCATAATTCAGTCGCACACCCCCATTTTTCTAAAATATGGTATGGAGATGCATCTCCGTAAAAAATTTGGGGTGAATTCGGAGATGCATCTCTGTAAAAATCTCTCTGGATTTATTTTAAGCTATTGAAAGCGTGTCTATTGCACATAATATGGGATATTTCAGAGATGCGTCTCTAGAAATCCTTTGAATGTTGTTAGGCAGAAACGTTGTCCTAACTTTAATGTTTTTTTAGGCCAACTTATATTTTAGATCATTTTAGTCCATAAGTTAGAAAATACATTCATTAATTGATTCAAACATACTACATATACATTAAAAAAAGTGATACATTAATTAAAGTGAACTCAAAATGTACCTACCATACATAACTTGTTCCAGAAATACAAAAAATAATACTACCAAACATAAACTATTGGGTATGTCTAACTCCCCGGCTTCTTCGCTTGTACTGCAAAGAATTATGTGTCTCAGTAATAATGCCTTTTACGAAGGCCAAGTGGGGACTTTCTTCCTTAAAAAGTCATGCCTTTATGCTCGATCTAGTCATATTCATAATACACCGACAAATGATGCTTATGTCCTGGGTGTGGTCATCCCAAGCCTTCAGTACCTCTTGATTAGATGGCCTATGTAATATTTCAAGAGTGTCTGGTGTCATAATAGGATGTGACACCCTATAAAACCATGTGATGTAGCCGTTTACATAAGCCCTTTGTACAAGAGATGGCGCCCTAGATATTTCTTTGGTACCAAATGACTCTTAAGATCCTCAAGTATGCCATCAAGATCTCTATAAAAGATGGTAGAATGAGCAGACTCCAAGGGGTGTCTCGGAATAACTTACAAATAACCAAACTGGTGCATCACTCACTCGGGAAGATGCGCATACATCATACCTGGCCTAAAAGTTAACCATTCGGATTATAACAAAATAACGTCCATCTGACTGTACGGTCAAGATACATTCGGAAGGGTTTGATCGTCTGATTCGCTCTATATGAGGAAAAGGCGGCAACACGTGGCCAATCCTCAATGTAGTCAAGTTTCCACCTGAAAATGAGAGGAAAGTGAGAAATGATTCATCCCTGAAAATAGTTCAGATAAAATATTAGTAACAAGTGTAACAAAAGAGTTATAAAAATATTAGTAACAGTAAATTATTGTAAATAGTGTGTAGTCTTACGTTGTACAGACAAGTGTTGGAACACACGGCGATCCTAATTTTGTCCTAATTTTTTCAGCCATTGTACTTGTGATAAAACTATAAAATCCCATCAAAATGCAGTCATGCCAAATCCGGAGATACATCTCTGAAAACCAATTCAGACAAAACCTAAAGATGTTATAATAATATTTGGATTCTACATTTAATCTATGGATTTTGATGTTAATAATACATATATTTTATATGTAAACAATTTTGTTTCTAGTAGTTTCTTGAGTGTGCAGATTAGAAGTTATAAGTTATTTCAGGACTGTTGTCTGAAGAATCATCGGAAATATACTAAACACGCATCAGAAAGATTATTGCATTCACTTTTGAAGAAACATCAGTAGTTCTAAAGAATGTTGAATGTTCTCCAGAAAGGGATCTCAACTTGTACTTCTCAATAAGTTGTTGCATCAGAAGTCACAATTATTCTAGAAGAAAGAAAGTCTATTAGACCTGCTGCTCCAAGATCACAAAATAAGATTACACGAGAAACAAGCTTTTGTGTCAAAGATCAGAAGTCAAGATTTATTCGTCAGAAAAGATGTTGCTTCAAATTCTGAAGAAAAAGTCAAGATTCTGAACACATCAAAGTAAAGCTTCTACTTTTGAATCAGTAGTCAAGATTTGTTCATCAGAAAAGTTGTTTCTTCTATTTTTGAAGACAAAGTCAAGATTCTGAAGACTCGGATACTTCGTGGAATATGTGCACATTACTTCACATCAGAAACATTCCTTCATAAGACAGATCAAGGAAAGTTAGATCTTCTAAACTCGTTATTATTCTACATCATATAGTCCATCAGAAGACAAGATAAAAGATGATATTTTCTCAAGCCAATATACTTCATCAGAAGTAATATTCATCATAAGACAATATCATCAGAAACATGTGCAATAATGGTTAGTACGAAAGTAAAATTACACATTCCACTCAAATGATGTAATCTGTACTATTTATCTCCCACGATTGTTTCTTACCGTTGGCAGTTGACAAGATGAAAGTGACGTGTGTACTACTACAACAATCTACTTCCTCAACACCTATATAAAGGTTCAAGCAATTCATTTGCAAATGGACGACATAGCAAGGTGAAAAACAAGAAGACTAGAGAGCAAGAACAATATTGCTGCCAAAATCAGAGCAAGAACAACAAATGATCAATACACAAGAGTTGTTGCTCATTATTGTGTTGATATTGTTATTTTCTAGAACACAAGAGTCGTTTCAAGATTAGTGGATTAAATCCTTTTCTAAGGATAAATCACCTTGGACGGTGGACAGGATTAGCCTTTTCTAAGGTGAACTTCTATAAACCGAAAGTGTCATTATTTCTCTCTATAACATTGATTCTAATTCTAATTGTTTGTATAAAGCACTTCTAAACGAAAATGTTTTTTGCAAATCCAATTCAAACCTCCCTTTCTTGTGTTTTCTTAACCTTTAACTAGTATCAGAGTCTGGTTCTGTTATTGATTTTATAATCAAACAATTAATTGTGTAGAGAGATCCAGTGTGAGAAAAACCTTCTAAATGGTTGCTGCTAACACAAACGATAGAGATAGATACAATGTTAAACCTCATATTTTTATAGATAGAAATTTGACTATTTGAGAGATAAAATAGAAAGATTATTTCTAGGCTATGATATTGATCTCTGGGAAATGGTTACAAATGATTATAAAGAACTTGTCAGTGCAATTGGTATTCCTATTCCCATGAGCAGAATGAATAAAGATCATAAGCGAAACTTTAAGAATCATCACAAATCCAGAACTATCCTTTTCAGCACAATCTCGTACAATGAATATGAAAAGATCACAAACAGAGAAACAACAAAGGATGTTCTTGATTCACTCATAATGACATACGAAGGCAATGCACAAGTCAAAGAAACTAAGGCCTTGGAATTAATTCATAAATATGAAGGCTTTAGAATGGAAGATGAAGAAACGGTTAAGACTATGTTCTCAAGGTTTCAAACCTTGGTAGAAGGACTTAAAATTATGGACAAAGGTTACTCCACAGTTGATCATGTTAAGAAGATCATCATAATTCTTCCCAAAAGATGGAGACCTATGGTTACTGCCTTGAAGCTTTCTAATGATCTGAATAGTATAACTCTTGAAGAGTTAGTTAGTTCGCTTAGAAGTCATGAGATAGAGCTAGAAGAAGATGAGCCCTATAAAAAATGGGAAAATTATTTCTCTAAGGTCTAGAATAGAATGACCCAAGTCAGAAAAGAATAAGGCGTCAAAACATAAAAAGTTAGAAGATTCTGACGATGAAAAATCATTGTTACTTCTGCCCAGAAGAATTAAGCAACTCTGGAAGAAAAGGAAAAACAAATCTCAAGGATCAGAATCAGAAGAAGAGCTCGCCAACATAACATTTATGGCTGCCATGAAAGGAGGAAGCAAATCAGAATCAGGGTTTGATTCTGAAGAGACATCCTGCGCAGCAGAAATGAAACACCAGTCATGGTATCTGGACTCCTGGTGCTTGCGTCACATGATGGGAAGTAAGCACATGTTCCAAGATCTTAAACTCAAAGATGCAGGGCAAATAGGCTTCGATGAAAATCAGAAAGGAAGGATAAAAGGTTCATGAACAATTGGTAACAAATCTTTTCCTTTTATTTCTAATGTACTTTATGTTGAGGATCTAATGTATAATCTATTATCCATAAGTCAATTAAGTGATAATTGTTATAACATTATTTTCAATCAGAAATTATGTAAGGCTGTGAGTCAAAAGGATAGTACAGTTCTCTTCACTGGAAAGAGGAAGAACAACATTTGTAAAATAAAGCTTTATGATCTTAAAAATCAAAACGTTAAGTGCTTAATGTCTGTTAACAAAGAGCAGTGGGTGTGACATAGACGCTTGAGTCACATTAGCGTTAGAAGGTTATCTCAGTTGAATAGACTTGAATTGGTAAGAGGCTTACCTAAGCTGAAGTTTACTTCAGATGCTCTCTGTGAAGCATGTCAAAAAGATAATTTTTCTAAAGTGTCTTTTAAATATAAAAATATTGTTTCTACCTCCAGGCCTTTGGAGATTTTTCATATTGATTTGTTTGGTCTAGTGAAAACAGCATTGGTCAATGGTAAGAAGTATGGACTTGTCACCATAGATGATTATAGTCATTGGACATGGATAAAGTTTCTGAGGCACAAGGATGAGTCATATTTTGTATTTACCAGTTTCTGTTTGCAAGTGCAAAATGAACTTTAGTCTAAGATTGTTATAGTCAAAAGTGATCATGATGGTGAGTTTGAAAACAAACAATTCGAAGAGTTATTTGATTCTAATGGCGTATTCCATGATTTCTCATGTTCTAGAACTCCACGACAAAATGGAGATGTAGAAATAAAGAATAGAACTCTGCAAGAAATGGCCAGAACCATGATCAATGAAATAAATATAGTTAAGCACTTTTGGGCAGAAGCAATGAATACAACATGTTACATTCAGAATAGAATCTCTATAAGACATATTCTTGAAAATACTCCTTATGAGTTATGTAAAGGAAGAAAACCCAACATCTCTTATTTTCATCCTTTTGGATGCTCTTGTTTTATCATAGATACTAAAAGTAATCTAAACAAGTTTGATTCTAAAGCACATGAGTGTATTATGTTTGGATATTCAAAACTCTCTAAAGGTTACATAGAATACAATATGGAAACACGTATAGTGGAAGAGTAAATTAATATTTGATTTGACGATAAGCTTGACCCAGAAAAGTAAAAGTTGTGTGAGAACTTTACAGGTCTAGAGATAAAATTTCAGATTCTAGAGAAAGAGATTCAAAAGATAAGCCAGACAGAAATGAAGACACATCAGAAGCACGTGAACACCCATCAGTTTAGAAGAGCCAAAAGCATAGACAACCCATATCTGAAGAATTAATTCTGGAAGAAAAAGTTGAACCTATCAGAACAAGATCCACGTTTAAACAATCCGAAGAAACGCTTTTGGGTTTAGTATCGCTAATAGAACCAACCTCGTGTGAAGAAGCACTTCAGGATAATGAATGGATTCTGGAAATGCAAGAAGAGCTAAATCAGTTCTCCATAAATGATGTTTTGGATCTAGTGCCTAAACCCAGAGGAACTCGTGTTATTAGAACTAAATGGATTTACATAAACAAATTGAATAAGAAAGGAGAAGTCGTTAGAAACAAATCACGATTGGTTGCACAAGGTTACAGTCAGCAAGAAGTTATTGACTACAATGAAACCTTTGCTCCAGTCGCCAAGTCAGAATCTATTCGTCTTCTAGTCTCATTTGCTATTAATAATGATATTGTTTTATATCAAATGGATGTCAAAAGTGAATTTCTAAATGGATACATTTTTGAAGAAGTATATGTGCGCCAACCTCCAGGATTTGAAAATACTAAATTTCCAGAACACGTTTTCAAACTTAAAAAGTCTTTATATGGTCTGAAGAAAGTTCCCAGAGCATGGTATGAAAGATTAAGTATTTTTCTGTTAGAAAATCGTTTTTCAAGAGGCAAGGTGGATACTACTATTTTGTGTAAAAACTTCAGAAGTGATCTCATGATATGCCAAATCTATATTGATGATATCATTTTCGAGTCTACTAATCCGATAATTTTTCAAGAGTTCTCTGAGTTGATGCAGATTGAATTTGAAATGAGTCTGATGCAAGAACTGAAATATGGTTAAATGTGACTAAGTGTTGGTTGACGGTCGTTGATCTACAGGTTTTAGAGATTGAGGTGAATTTGTAAAACTTAAACGATTAAATTATTGAAAGTTGTTAAAGTGTGAGGTATAGAGTTAAAAATTGTGTACCTGAATTTGAATCGTAAGTCAAACTTTGTAGTAAGAGGATTATGATTTCAGACTCTAGAACATTCTATAAGACATGTATAAAGAGATTATTTAAATCATCTCATCTGGCGGTTAATATAGGTGGTTCAAACGCTCATTCAATGTGGTTCGAGATAAGGGGTGATAAACGGGCGTCTCTGTCTTGTTTAGGTCCGTTCTACAAAAGCTCACAAAAATATAGTAGATCGGGTAGGCATAATTAAAGGTAGACCTAAAACTTTGACTCGTCCTGCAAAAAAATGAGTGTGGAGAAAATATTCGCGGATTTTGAATCTTTTAGTCCTAAAAATATATAAAAAAATATATATAAATGTTTGTATTCATAAAAGCCCACAAAAAAACAAAATAGAACGGAACAGATATATTAGAGGTTGCGAGCCTAAAGCTTTGGCCTATCCCACAAAATAGTGCAAACAAATCAGACATATCAAACAGACCAGGTTCGTTTTGGCATCCCTCTTCAAGATCACTCCTACTCAATGGTTTGTCTAAGGTCACTCCGAATTGGTTGTTTAAGCGCTAGTGACTTAAGATGATCTGATCTAGTGAGGAAACAAACTTTAACATGTTTTAAAACAATAAATAAAATCTTGTTAAAATTGTTCAATATATAAAACTTATTAAGTGAAATTTATTAACTATTTGAACCAAACTACTTATCTACATTCTTTTTATTTGGGAAGTTCATTGGTTCGGTAAATTCAAACCAAACTAGAATCTAAATCACACCATAGTATTTGGGTTGGACATTTTTTTCGTTCGAACAAAAACCAAATCAATCCAATAAAACTTGATGTTAATTGGTTCGAACATTGAATTTTTAAAATTCTATCTGCGAGCCCATCTATCCGAATCAATCATAATTAATTAGCATAATATATATTTCATTATCATAGAAACTAATATAAGATATTCAACTTCAAATAAAAGTGAAATATCACTTAAGATATTCACAACCAATATGGAAAAATGAAAAATATTTAAGATTTTATATTATTTTGGAAAATTAGTTGATGTAAATTAGATATTTTTTAAAAATATTTTTACATATTTATTTTAGGTTTAAATATATTTTTGGTCATATTATTTAATTTTTAAAATTTTTTAATTCTCTTCAAAAAAACAATTTTTAATCCATCCTGATTAATTTTTTTGAATTTTTTTTAATCCTCTTTAATTTTTGTTTAATTGACATTTTATTTTATAACGTGACATTAATCATGTGGTACAACGTCACAAAATGATAACACATCACATAATATATCAATAATATATTTCATTATAATGCCACGTAAATTTTGTGATGTGGCATAATTTTATGAGGTGACACTATATAGTAAATGTTACATCATAACCACGTCATAAAATTAAGTGTCAACTAGAAAAAACTAAGGGAGACTAAAAACAATTCAAAAACTATTAAACCAAAGACTAGAAAGTTAGTTTTTTTTAATAAGAACTAAAAAGTTAAAAGAAAATTAAAGTAGGGGTACTAAAAAATGAATTTAAACTTATAAAATATATTTATCCCTAAGATAAATGTAGCTCAGATGATAAATGATTTTAGCTTAGATTATCTCTCTTATATGCAGTTAGTGTCTCTTATATTCAACCAAACTCACGTTCAAGTGTGTGTTTTAGCAACCAAACGCACGTTCAAACTTGGGTTATCTCTCGAGATTTTAAGAAGCACCAAAAAGTAACTTGGATGATCTCTCTCATCTGCACTAAATGACTGTTTGGTTTGGCGTTTGAGTGCTCAAACGCACATCTACCTATCCTCCTATCGTGATTTCAAGAAGCTCCAAAAGGACTAAAACACACGTCTACCTATCCTCCTATCGTGATTTCAAGAAGCTCCAAAAGGACTAAAACACACGTCTACCTATCCGTGATTTCAAGAAGCTTCTTCGTTAACGTGAATGCTACAAGTGTCTTAATTTCTGCGGTAGTCACTTTGCTATCAAAAATAATAATATTTATGTGCCAGTAACATGTTTCAAATTTTAACTACACGGAAATCCGGTGGATGTGTGCACAGGTATGTAAATATATGTTTAGATTTGCCTCCAGTTCAGCATTGCTTCTACTAATCAATTTTAAAGGTTCATGTTAAGTTAAAACCATAACATTACCAACTCAAAGTTCAAACATACACAAATTCTAGGATAAGCAGACAAATAAACGCATAATTATAATGCTTGGCATCTTTGGTTTGGGATTTCCACATGAATCAAATGGCTAACCAGCAAGTATCAAATGAAAATTGCAAGATTTCTAAAATGAAAATAATTATTAAACAATAGAAATCCACCACACTCAAAAACTTCTACATGAGCACAAGCTCTTTTATCAGGAGTGCTTTATGAGGAGTCAGGACAGAGATTATAAGACACCATTCATATCTCTTTTGATCATCTGCCACTCCAAAATCTAGCAAGTTGTACAAGCTCACAAAAATCTGCAACAGGCCAAGTTTAAGCATATGGTTAGTAAACAAAATCAATGGCATTAAAGATATAAAAGAAAAACAGAGATGCTTACTAGTATTTATCACCTAAAGATTTAAAAAAAGATTGTCTGCAAAATTTGTCACTCCTTAAGTTCATCAACCATGAAATCCTGAAGAGCGATCATTTTGATAGAATTGGACTTCAAGCTTTTTATTGCCTCGGCAGTTGCCAGAGCACCATTAACGGTTGTCACAATAGGAACCTTGTAATCCAAAGCCATCCTCCTCAGAGCTAGACCATCTATCCGATCAAGTGCATCATCTGAACTGGTTACAACCATCAGCTGAATATCTCCATTAGCTATCATGTCACCAGCATGAGGCCTTCCTTCATGTAGCTTCAGCACTAGCACAGCTGGGATATTACATAATTTAAGAGCAAGAGCTGTTCCAGCAGTAGCAACAATCTGAAATCCATTATTAATGAAAGCATTTGCAATTTTCTCAAGGTGAGGCTTCGTTATGTCATTCAAGCTAAGAAACACACTACCAGATAGTGGTAACTTCTGGCCAGCGGCAATTTGAGCTTTAGCAAATGCAATATTATACAGAGGGTCAATACCCATGACCTCGCCGGTACTTCGCATCTCAGGACTTAGAAATATATCACAGCCTGGGAACTTTGAAAAGGGAAGAACTGCTTCCTTGACTGACACATGTTTAGGAATAACCTCTTTTGTAAACTTTATATCATGTAGAGACTTTCCGGACATGACAAGGGAAGCGTATTTAGCCAATGGATGGCCAATTGCTTTTGATACAAATGGCACCGTACGAGAAGCTCGAGGGTTGGCCTCAAGCAAAAATACATTCCCCGTTGAAGTTATTGCATACTGACAATTCATGAGCCCGCATACGTTCAGCTTTTTGGCCAAATTTTCAGTCCATGACCTGATAATCTCCAATGAAGAAGATGAAATAGTTCTTGTGGGAATAGAACAGGCAGAGTCGCCCGAATGTATCCCAGCCTGTTCAATGTGCTCCATTATCCCACCGATTACTACATTGCCATGTGAGTCAGCCAGGGCATCAACATCAATCTCGATGGCATCAGATAAATACTTGTCAATAAGGACAGGGCGTTCTGGATCCACCTCAACAGCATTTTCAAGGTAAGTAATGAGTCTTTCATCGCTATAAACAATCTCCATTGCTCGACCACCCAAAACATAAGAAGGGCGAACAACAACCGGGTATCCAATGTCTGCTGCAATGGCAAGCGCATCAGCTTCACTCCTAGCAATTCCTCCTTTTGGGTGTTCAATCTGTAGTTCATGAAGCATCACATTGAACCTCTCCCTGTCCTCAGCAACATCAATGGAATCAGGAGATGTTCCCCAAATGCGTACATGACCTTCTCCACTGGCGCACTCTGGCTTGTGTTCGTCTAGATATTGTTGTAGGGGAAGAGATAGTTTCAATGGTGTTTGACCTCCAAATTGTACAATGATACCATCAGGCCTTTCCAAATCAATAATGTTCAAAACATCTTCAACAGTCAAGGGTTCAAAGTAGAGACGGTCACTAGTGTCATAATCTGTGGATACAGTCTCAGGATTTGAATTCACCATGATTGTCTCATATCCTGCTGCCTGAAAAATCAATGGACAATGATGACATATAATAAAGTAGTGAAACAAAAAATATACCACCTATCTAAGCAAATATCAAGATGAGTAGGAACCAGTTCCTTTCATCTTGAAGCACAAAACAGAACACAGCCAAATTAATCACCTTATGGTGCATAGTACTAAACTGATGGACAGTGCATGAAATTTAAATTCAACAAGTCATCACTGAAGGCTAATATCATGATACGGGTACTAGTGTGCAGCATCGCCAGTATCGCATGCACCAGCTCTTAGGTTGAAACTTTTTACAAACTAATACACAACTAGTGGAGCATGAATATCTGGAATCTAATTAATACAAATGGAAAGAAAACATACCTGGAGAGAAAAAGATGCATGACAACAACAGTAGTCAAACTCAATCCCTTGACCGATTCTATTTGGTCCTCCACCTAAAATTAAAACCTTCTTTCTACTAGTGGGAGCTGATTCACACTCGAAATCATAAGAAGAGTACATATAAGGTGTATTAGCTTCAAATTCTGCAGCACATGTATCAACTCGCTTGTATGCCGGAGCAACACCCAGAGATAGCCGCCTACTTCGGACTTCTTTCTCGTTGGACTTGGTCGCAAAAGCTATCTGTTTATCACTAAATCCTCTTCTCTTCACTTCATAGAAATCGGCATGTGTCAAATCAGACAGGTTCCGCGACGCAAGGAAATTCTCCACGTCAACTAGATCCTTGAACTGCCTGAGAAACCATTTATCAATAAAACTCAGTTCAAAAATTTCGTCAATTTCCATCCCTTTCTTCATTGCAGCATATACGGCATGGATACGCTCCGGATTAGGAACCCGAAGGTTATACTTCAACTGTTCCAAATCATAGTCCAACTCCTTGGCAGGCCCACAACCCCATCCAGCATGGCCGTGCTCTAGAGAGCGCACAGCCTTTTGAAAGGACTCCTGGAATGTTCTCCCCATTGCCATTGACTCTCCAACTGATTTCATCTGTGTCGTCAGTATTGGCTGAGAGCCAGGAAACTTTTCAAAAGCAAACCGAGGAATCTGCAAATTGAACCGAGTAAACGCATGGTAAAAAACACAAGTTAGAACAAAAGGTAGCAAAAAATAACAACAAATCAGACATTATTATCGATTCAATGTGACAGTATTGACATAACTTGCTCCATGGCATAAATATTAGTTAGTTCAGTAGTTAATCAGATTATAAACTAGATAGCCAGAATAACATATTGGTGTGCATTACCTTCGTAACCACATAATCAATAGAAGGCTCGAAACTAGCAGGTGTTTTTTGTGTTATATCATTTGGAATTTGATCCAAAGAATAACCCACAGACAACTTAGCCGCCATTTTCGCTATAGGAAAGCCAGTAGCCTTAGAAGCAAGTGCAGAAGACCTAGAAACTCTAGGATTCATCTCAATCACCATAACCTCGCCATCCTCCGGGTTAACAGCAAACTGAACATTGGAACCACCACATTCAACACCAATCTCTCTTATAATAGCAATCGAATAATCTCTCAATCGCTGATACTCCTTATCAGTCAAAGTCTGAGCAGGAGCAACCGTAATCGAATCACCAGTATGAACACCCATAGGATCAATATTCTCAATCGAACAAATAATAACAACATTATCAGCCAAATCTCTCATAACCTCAAGTTCATATTCCTTCCAACCTAACAACGATTTCTCAATCAAAACCTGATTCGTCAAACTCGCAGCAAGTCCCGCCTTACAAATCTCCAACAAATCCTCTCTATTATACGCAATCCCCCCACCCGTACCACCCAACGTAAAAGCCGGTCTCACAATCAAAGGAAACTCAATCTCATTAGCAATCTGCATACATTCGTCAATCGTACTACACGTTCCCGAAGGCGGAGTTTTAATCCCGATATTCTTCATAGCCTGCTTAAACAGCTCTCTATCCTCCGCCTTTTTAATAGCTTCAAGCTTAGCACCAATGAGTTCTATACCGTATTTCTCCAACGCGCCGCTCTCGGCCAACGCGACCGCAAGGTTGAGCGCTGTCTGGCCGCCCATGGTAGGTAAAAGTGCGTCGGGGCGTTCGGCTTCGAGGACCTGTTCGACTAATTCGGGTGTCATGGGAGTGACGTAGGTTCTGTCAGCCATGTCCGGATCGGTCATGATGGTGGCGGGATTTGAGTTGATGAGGATGACTTGGTAGCCTTCTTCGCGTAAGGCTTTGCATGCTTGGGTGCCGGAGTAGTCGAACTCGCAGGCTTGGCCGATTACGATTGGGCCTGCGCCGAGGATTAGAATCTTCTTTATGTCGGTTCGTTTTCCCAATTTGGGTAGGGTTTGGGGTTGGTCAGTTGGTGTGGGTGGTGGAGTGGTGGAGACGACGGCGGATGCGGATGCGGCGGCGGCGGCGGCGGCGGAGGGAGTGAGGGAGATATGTTTTTTGGAGGAAGAGATTTGGGGGATTTGGAAAGGGAGGAGGTTAGGTTTGGGGGATAAGCGAGGAATGGGAGAGAAAAGAGAAGAGGAATGGAGTGGAAGTTTGTTGAAATGAGAGATGGAATAAGCCATTGGCATGGTGAAGGGTTTTAGGGTTAGGGTAAGTTTTTGTTGTTTGTTTGGAGAAGGAAATGGGAAAGAAGAGGGAGATTATTGGTGTTGCGCTGCTTTTTAATGGGTGCGCCGCGGTGGTCCTGATGCTTTCAGGTTTCTGGGGCTACTGTGTCTGTCACTGTGAGTATGATGAGTGAGAGAATCTATAAAAAATTGTCACTTTTCTTTGTCGATATTCTTTACAAGAAAAGCCTAGAACAAATCATATTAAAGACAACATTTTAAAAAATGTATAAGAATATATAATAAAATGTTTAATTGATAGGAATCTATTTTATATTGTCATTCAATAAAATATTAATAATATATTTTATTTTTAAAAAATTAAAATAATAGTGTAACTTATCCTCATACATAATTGTGATTGACTTATAATATAAAAATAATTTATACCGTTAATGCATTACTATGTTTCTTGATAATAAATATTTAGAAAAAGTTGTGATTTATTTTTTTTAAGAAAATATAATTAGTTAAGGTAACATCCGTTAAATTGTAATTCGATTGTGTCGAAATAGTGTGTGTTGAAGGAAGATTGCTTAGTCGAAGAGTTTGTGGATCGAAGTAAACTACACACAAATTTGATTGGTTTTAGATTTAGATAAATTTGATTTAGATCTACAATAGATAGATTTGATTTAGTACCAAAATAGGTATTTTGGGCTTTTATAGTTTTGGGATTTGACTTAGGGAGCAAGCTAACCTAAATCTATAAATAGAGGGAGTAACCCATAATTTTGTAATTAAGTTAATTCATTGTAATCACTGTTGGCTCCCAAATTCGACACTTACTGTATTTGGTCTTTTGGACCAAACAACTGGAATGAACCAAATCAGGAGGTATGATTCGACACATGAAATAACTTATGAAAAAAGATCTAAGTTATGATAGGATTGTTCGACCAAGGGCTCATTCGACTGAAGTAGACTTATGTCGCTCGACTGAGAGAAAGTGTTCACGCTTTGGCACATGGAACGAGGACTATTTGAATTTTGAATTATTGGAGGGAAAGGCAGTTTTCATCAACGTCTGAGAAGATGCAACGTGGCCAAAAGCTATGGGTCGAGAGACATGCAGAAGACACTTGTCTTCATCCTAGCGCAGAATGTCCCCTCGACGGTTACCTATTTTTTAGTATAAATTAAGAAGCTTGTGTAATTTTCAAGGGTGTTCAACCTATTGTACTAAATCTCTCAAATATTATCCAAATAACTACCGCGTGAGAAAGGATAAAGTTGAGCAATGTACGTTGGAAACACCTTTTTTCCTTAATGAAAGTCTTATTACATTACTTTACCATTATCCTGCAAAGTTATCTTTTTACTTCTTTTATTTGCATTTCTATACTTTTGTTTACTTTTCAACTATCTCAAACATCCTTCCGCTGGGTCGAACGTGCGTTCTTCCTTCTTACTCACTTTACTTAAAAATTAGCATATGTCATGGGATTAGTTTGATCGATCCCGTAAGTAAACCAAAAACACTTACCTTTTGGAGATCAGCGGTTGTTTACCAAAAATAATGGTAAACAAATTGGCACACCTGATGGGACGTTGCTAATTTTCTATGTTACTGCGTTTTTCCTGTACAGTTATAACATTGCATGTTATTAAGAATTGGTAGAGTAACCAACAAATATACTGTTAGGAAGGAAAATAGAGAGAGTAGTATGGCTAACGAGCCAAACCATGGAGAAATACCTCCACCGATCACAGGAACAGCGGTTACTACTGCTGTCGAAGGGAATATCCCAACTTTTGTTTGATCAATGCCAGCGTTAACCACGAATCAAACTGGACCCTTACTTACGTATGTGGGTCCAAGAGGTCATTTGGGAACGCCTCCACCAAGGATAAATCTAGGATCTCGATCAATTGTACCCCCAGGCTTTTCGACAACCTGGATAGGTCGAGAACAGCCATATGGCATGCCAACTACTGAAATGGCTAGCCTTATGAATGTTGCGTCCACTTTTTCAGAACCTTTGGTGAATGCAACATCGCCATTATAGGGGTCTGGAGCCAGTAGAAACCAATTTTTGGGAGGGCTATCTCACATGATACCAAGCCTCACGAATGTTTTGACAACAATTTAGAGGCAACAAATGGACGAAAGTAATCATGAAATGGTACAGATGCTAGCACAAACTTTAAGTACAGTGCTAAATCCCCTCATTCAGACTGCTACACAGTCGAATCAACATATGACAACGCAAATGATGCACATGGCTGAATTTTTTGGGGTACCCCAAGTTGTTCGACAACCCCAGAGGGTGCCAATAAGAGTAAATCAAGGGGTAATTATGGAAGAAGATTTGACCATTAATCCAAACCCCCAAATTCCTAGGGTAGAAGTGGAACGACCAAGAGTAGAGATACCTCGAAACCATCGAGAAATCGATCAAGGCGTTATTATGGCTAATAGAAACCAAAACGCTGACGAATTAATACAACAAGTTCGACACCAGAACTATGGGACGGACAATAATTTAACCGCTATGATCGAGAGGATCATGCTTCAAAACGGGATGAATGTTGGTTTTCATAGACTAAACTTTGCATCCCCATTGTCAGAGTATATTCTGCAAACAGACTTACCACCTAGAGGAAAAGTCCCAAAATTCACTAAATTTTCAGGGGATACGACAGAGTCGATTGTCGAACATGTGGCTAGATATTTGATAGAGGCCAGAGAAATAGCAAACAATGAAAACCTAATAATCAAATATTTCCCAAGTTCCTTGACTAAGAATGCTTTCACTTGGTTCACTACCCTCCCAGCCAGTTCGATCCACAACTGGAACCAATTGGAAAGATTGTTCCATGAACAATTCTACATGGGTCAAACCAAGATAAGTCTAAAAGAATTGGCTAGTGTGAAAAGAAGGTTCACATAGCCAATTGATGAATATTTAAATAGATTTCGATTACTCAAAGCTAGATGCTTTACCCAAGTGCCTGAGCATGAATTAGTTGAAATAGCAGCAGGGGGCCTAGATTATTCGATTAGGAAAAAGTTAAATACACAATACCTAAGAGATATGGCCCAACTTGCTGATAGAGTTCGACAAGTAGAACGCCTTAAAGCTGAAAAGGCTAAAACTGCCAAAACTCATCGACGAGAAAGGGTAGCTTATATCGAAATTGATGATGACGATCCGGAGACATACAGCGATCCTATAGATGTCGAAGGAGGCGAAATTAATTTAGATGAATTAAAACAAGGACCATCATATTCTTGTAAATTGCTAGTGCCATCAAATGGGAAAAATCATGTAGAACCCGAGAAAAACAGTGATAAATTTCCTAAGAAAACTTATAGCTTCGACATATCCAAGTGTGACGAAATATTCGATCTATTAGTTAAAGATGGACAGATGATAGTGCCCCCATGGGCTAAATTGCCTCCTTTAGAACAAAGAAAGAAAAGAGGTTTTGTAAATACCATAATTTTTTGGGACATAAAACCTCACAATATTTCCTTTTCAGGGATCTCGTTTAACAAGCGCTAAAGGAAGGAAGGCTGGAATTTGCTGATAAACCAACAATGAAAATCGACACAAACCCACTGCAGACAGAGGCTCATTATGCCGAACCAATTGGCATTCATATGGTGGAAGTGTCTGAAGATTTCATCATAAAACCCATCTTTGGAAGTTTCACTGGAAACATTTCCAGAAAAACTATTGAAGGGGTGAGAAAGGCCACTGAAGGCCTGGATTCTAAAAAGGAAGTTGGCCAAGGGTCGAACAAGAAGGCTGCTGGTAACCTGAAACTAATCAAACGGGTTACTGAAGACCCAAACAAAATCAAAGGAGTTGCTGAAAGCTCCAACAAAAGAACCACCACGGGTTCTTATTTGGCTGTTGCAAAGGGTTCGACAGAAGACTTGGAAGCCAGAATGCAGAAGATGAACCTAGTTTCCAAAAGCAACATGCAAGTTAACGTGGTTGAAGTCTCTGGAGCCAAAGCTTCAGAGGAAGCCATTCGACAAGAAGAAGTGAACAAAACTGCCTTCCCAAAGGAAGATGAAGATTTGGAAGATTTCCTGCATAGGTGCCAAAAGAAGAAATCGGAAGTAACGTTATGCCCTAGATGTAGCTCTATTTTCGATAAGAAAGCCGCTGAACACATACAAGTGATACGGGTTGTAAAAGCAAAACAGGGCACCAATGCCCAACAAAGAATGGGTCCAGAAATTCGATTTGACCCCAGAAGGGGACATCAACAAAGACCCATGAATCAGGAAAGGAGGCCACCGACTTTTAGGCCTTCAACCAATGTGCCTACAGATACTTGGCTAAATACCATGGGTAGGAAGCGGCCAAATGAGGATAGATGGCAGGCATTCGACGTACCAAGAGGTTCTTCTCTAGATTATAGAAAGGAGTACCATGCTTCTGCGTCGAACAAAATGACCCATGTGTCGAGCAACTATAAAGGAAAAAATCCTATGTCTCGTTCATAGTGGAGAAGGTTTCAAAGACAACGAAAGGCCGAGAAAGAGGAAGCCGAACCTCATCCAGAAGTTAGCACTAATATACAGAAAAAACAAAGGAAGCCTCTGGAGAGAAATCTTGTGCCCTGGGCGGAAGAGTGTGGGTCGAATGATAAAGACGACTCCGACTCTAGTGAAAGTTTAGACATCATGGTGAATGTCATATTTGTATTGCCCAAAGAATACAACCGTGAGGTCAAAGTCGAAGAAACTGACCTAATGGTTGAACAAGAACTGGCTAGACACAAGCCAGTATGTTACTATATGATGAACAATGGATGCGTGGAAGAGCAAAACGCATTTTTTGAACCACCATCAGAGGCAATGAAGAGCCATTTGAAACCATTGTTCATTAGAGCAAAGGTTGGAGAGGTAACCATAAACAAAATCCTGGTTGATTGTGGGGCAACCATCAATATCATACAACAATTCATGCTGGAAAAGTTAGGCAAAGGAGATGCTGACA